ATAGATTTACTATTATATATTAATTAATTATTTTGTCTATATTGTTAAATACAGTAATTTTTTGTATTATAAAAGTAGTTTAATGATATACAAAATATTAAAGATTTGGGAAATGATAACATTTAGTTTCAAATTTAAACTAACGGAAAGTTTAAACTAACGGACTTATTAAATTAATAAATTAATGTTTTGTGAAATGTTGTGTTGATAATATCAAAGAGAAAATATTCATTAACTGATATTGATATTGAGAAAATCCGTTGAAACAATTATTGTCTATAATGATGATAGTGACAGTCGTGTCCCAGTTGCAGCCTTCGCTTACGGACCACGTGCACTTTATTGTTCCTTTCGTTGAGAAGGCCTTACTTAAAGATATATCCTGTCATTTTTTTCTTCAATGAAGACTCATGAGCTGTATGATTGAAAATCTGACACGCAATTGCAATTTTACACGCAAGAAAAGCAACTTTAATGCAACAATTTTCATTAAATAATTTCATTTGATAATTAAAATTATGTAGAGTATTTCTTAATTATTTTATATTACTTTCTAATATTTTAGAGATTAATTAAAAATCTTACAAAATATTTAGTTCCTTGTATTTTGATTTCAAAAAATGCGACTTATGTCTTTATTTAAACAGTAACGTTCAATTGATCAATATTAATTTTTATCAATAATATATTTTTAATATATTAATTTATTGTTAAGAAGGCAATTAAAAAATTAATAAATTAACTAAATAATAAAAATCAATAGTATCTAAACTGTAAATATAATATTTTAATTATTTATTAGTTTTCATTTTTCATAAAATATATATTGAAGAATTACAAGGTTACAATATATATGTGTTATCTACGACTAAAATTAGCGACAAAGCTCATGCTGATAAATTTCCATGTCCATATAACTTATTTTATTTTTGCTGATCAAGAATTTTTCGATAAAATTCATTCATAAACCCCTGTTTTCATACAAATATAATATTTTTCAATCAATCAAGCAAGAATAATATGATAAAAGAATTATCAAGTATCAAGAATTATCAATACTTATGTATACTTATGTTTGTTGAAGACTTATCATTACTTATCATTACAATTTGTTCTATAATAATTAAAAAACATTATTTATCTATCTATGCTTTCATCTATTTTTACATTTTTAGATTGCAAAAGATACTTTATTATTCTATACGCAAGTATTTAAATCTTTTCATAAATCAGAAGCAAATCAGAAGTTATTATCACGAGATACTCTCAAGATTCGTTGTTATTACATCTATTACTTAATTATACTATGTTATATTATGTAAGAAATGATTTGCTATAAATAGAAGATGTCTCATACCAAAAGATGTAGTTTTGCAAGAGTGAAAGATTAATCGCGCTGATTTTGTCGGAGTAATTGGTTTCGTTCTGATGAAACTGCTTTCATTCGACGACTTCAATTCAGGATATGTTTGGTCGATCGAGATCATGCGATTTGTTCACGTGGTCGATAGATGATGTCTCGTCCTTTAAATTCATAGTTGAAGTTGAGAAAGTTGCTGGGATCGTGATTTCCTGTGTTAGTCGCTGTGTAGGTTGCTCCGGGATCCTTTTACTCTCGTAATATTTTACACTCTCATATATTTTACACTCTTCCCATGTTCATAATGATTAGATGTCTTCGAACCAATGTCGCTTCCGCAACGTGATTATTTTTTGATGCAATTGGATGGTTAATTATAGCCCGATTTCCTAAAGGTGCGCCGACAATTTCAACGAAGAAATTTCAACAAGCTATCAAAATTCCTCCCTGAATTTGCGACAAGAAATGTAAATTCATTAATTTTGATTTATCTTAGTAAAAATAGACCAAACTTGTTAAGTTATATCGTAATTATAATTTTTTTGAATATGCCTTTTATGTCTTTATAATTTCGTACGTAATTATTTATTTTTTTTAAATTATAAAAATATAAAAAAGAAATAATAGAAATAATAGAATATAAATATCAAGAATATTAAGAATATAAAAATTGCTCTAATATATATATATATATATATACTAACATGAAGAAAAAAATATTTCTTTATTATTAGGAATAAATTGATTTTATCATAATTTCATTGTTGAAACTTAAAAAGAATAATTTGGAATTAAGAGGACAACTCGAAGATTTAAAGTTTGACCGGAAAGAACATCTGGTTATTTGGGAGAAAGAAAAGTTCTGAGAATTTGTTCCGACTAATTATTGCATCCGTCTGTGGTAACGATTCAGATAATGACTCAAAGAGTTTCTTTAATCATTCAGATTCGGTATATCATAAATTGATTAGATAAAATAAGAATTTAATTGTCAAACAAAAAAACATTGACTAAATTTCTCAAATAAATTATATAAAATTAAATAGAATTTTTTTTCTATAATATTAAGAAGTAAATAAAGATCGATAAATATTTTCATTTTTTGTTAAATTATTGTAGAAGCGTGAAAAGTGTGAAATTATTTTCGCGTTTATCATCATCGTCATAATTTGTCACGGATTAAAATCTTGTTGGTGATCCTGATGACAAAGACGTCGTTTCTGTTTCGATCTTACCAGTGTAGACTTGTGACTTCCCATATGTTCCCAATATGTACCCTCGAGTCCCGAAGGAATCTCCCTTCCCATCGGAACCATGTAAGTTGACCAATCGACCACTTCTCTCTCTCTCTCTCTCT